GGATCGACGTAGAAGTGGATACTTCGTCACTATATATCGCTCGATGGTAAAAGCTACTATGAGCCACACACTCAAGAACTTGAAAAAAAAGTCCGGAAATTCCTTGAAGAAATATAACCAATACAAATAATAATTTTCTCTTGGGTTTTTATTCGTTAAAAGGAGCCATTCAATGAGTAACATCATTGAACAAACGATATCGCTTGTTGCTAGCATGCCCAAATAGATGTTGGACGAGGTAGAACGCATCGTTTTACGGAAGAGTACAATAACGGACAAACAGTTACCTAACAGACCTAAAATAATAAAAATTGGCAGACTGTATTTTTCGAAATTTATAGAGATCTCCACATTATCTGCAATTACATTAAGCATGTAACGAAAGGAATGAAATTCATATATGACGTTAGTGATTGGAAAATGTCTGCCTACAATATCTTCGTTACATAAATCTCGGAATTTTTTAATTCTACTTATATTCACAAGTAAGTGAGGCATCATGGTACGTCTTCTGTTGATATAATCGTAGATATAATATTCAGCAAACCCTCGTAAACTTTCATCAAAATCTCTTTCGTTGTTACAAACACGCGATCGTAGTCCGTGTTTAGATATGCTGGAATAATCTTTGTCAAGATTATTTTCAGAAAACATCCTGGCTTATAATTATGGATTGTTTGTAACAGTTGCTTATGAAAAGAAAAGCAAAAACGGGTATAATCTAATTGCGTCACGCGTCTGAAAAAGCGTTAAACATTATTATAACATTATTAACGTTATTATATATATTATTTATTAAAATCAATAAATCTTGTATATAAATTTTATTTATTGATATATTTATTAAAATAATTTTTTTTATTATAAAAAAATTAAAATATACGAAATATATAAAATATATACAGTATTTTAAACATTTAAAGTAAAATGTCTTACGGACTATCTCACTTACCAGAAAATTGTTATAAATTCTGAAGTCTATGAATACGGGCGTTACAAACTCTCAGCAATTCCCGGATTACAATCATTGATCTGCTAACCACTGACGATTGCAACAAACTGAATGTCGAGACGACTGACTCGGATGACGGTATTATTTCTTCCTGGAAGTTTGCGGCTTACCAAAATGATTAACATTTTGACTATAACGTTGTCCATATCCGTTGACATGTGAGTTTTTGCAGGAACCAATCACTGTTTAAAGGTATTAATAATATCATTAAAAAAACATTAAATATTATTAAATTAATATATAAAATTTATTAAACACAAATTTTTTTATTTTTCTTATGAAATATATTATATTGAGTATAGTTTTTTTATTAGTTTAATAATTATGATTGAATGGCAACTGTAGTTATTATATACTATGTATGGAATCATAACAAAATATAGAACGACAAAATAATTGAGTTTGTGTTGTTTAATTAATTTTATACTTTTAGTTAAATTAAGAGTTATGCATTTGTATGCAAAGTTATCGTTTTAGTATTTGAGGAAAATTTCGTTAGCGATATTTATTTTACAAATTTAATTACAACAATATTATCTGCGCATCCTAGATTGATGATTGCTCTCTTCTTTTGACAATTTTTTTTTACGCCGGATATAAATTCAATTTATATCATTAATCTAAGTATATTGATTAAAAATGCTCACGACATAAAAAGATGCAATATATAGTAC